AAGTTAATGTTAAGGTATTACAATTAGATGAAAGGTTGGGAAGAAACAACTAATTCTCATTCTTAAGTGTGTTCTAAACCACTATTCCTTCTCAATTGTTTTTGGTTCAAATAATTACCAGCGAAAGATAGTGTCTCTGGTTCTGTAGGAATTGAGATCTTTGGATGCTTGAATAATTCATTCTTATATAAGATGGTTCTAAGTGTGCAGTTTCTGTTTTGTTACTGCAGTTGCTGCATGTAAAGTTTTTTTTTTTTTTAAATTATACAGGTGGCACCTGTTTTCGGGGGGAAATCTCAAATGGTTATCAGATGACACTATAAGTAGATACTTTCTACATTTAATCACTTAAAGAGTAGGAGAGTAGGTTTCTAAGCTAATGTGTTAACTGGCTAGCAGGAGTTAAAGCTCAAGTTAAAAACCCTAGGTTCTTTGATGTGTAAAACATTGTTGATTACCTGGGGAAATCTTAAAGATTAAACCCTATTGAATCTACTCCTCTAAAACAGTTAAAGATTTTAAAAGACTAGTATGTCATGGTTATGTAAAATATGTGTTATAGTAAAATTAAACCAGTATTGTGAAGGAGTTATGTTAAATTTCATTGTTATGTTAGAAATATTAGCTGATATATTTTTTATACCTTAAAATTGTTCTCCACATCTGTAAGTATAGGTAAGGTAGATGTGAAATGCTTTATTTGAATCAGAGAACTGATGTTTTCTTTGTAGGTTTCTTAGGAAACATTAGCTCATTATGTGCCTATCAGTTGTAGAGCAGAAATAGATTACAGTAATACTCAGTTTCTACTTTTCTTTAGATTACACTTTTTAATTATCAGAAAAATTTAAATGTATTGAAGTAATGTGTCAAGGTGTTTGATTTCATGTATTTACAAGATACTTTATGGACTGGATTTTTTTTTTAAACATGGTTATTGTGATTTGTATGAGCTTTTTAATAACTTTTAGGCATTTAGGTCTTGCCTGCATAACTTAAATGCATAGTTGAAAATAGAAATTTTATTTTTATTGATATAAAAATTTGTAAAACTTAAGTTATAAACACTCAATTTTATGATAAAATTAGGAAATTATGTTTAAAGTTTTAATTTTTTTCTCTCTTTTTTTGGGGGGGTGATGTTTTACAGGCACTTAAATATTCATCGAAGAGTCACCCCAGTAGTGGTGATCACAGACATGAGAAAATGCGAGACGCCGCAGATCCTTCACCACCAAATAAAATGTTGCGGAGATCTGATAGTCCTGAAAACAAATATAGTGACAGCACAGGTCACAGTAAGGCCAAAAATGTGCATATTCACAGAGTTAGAGAGAGGGATGGTGGTGAGTAGCTTTTTTGTTGAAACTTTCACACATTTTTTTTTTTAATAGTAGCTCCATTTAAAAGTATAGGTGGCAATATTTCTAGCTTGGGGACATTACTATATGATTATGTTATCAAAATATTTTCTATCAATTTATTTGATTCCTGAAGTAGTTACTGTGGAAATAAGATGCTGACCCAAGCATCTAAAAATGGATTCCAACACCTGATAATAAGAGAATGCATTTATGAATATAATTTACCAAATGCTTTCTTAATGATGAGAGAAATAGAGGAGTTTTTTTCCAAGAAAGGCACTTTCACCTTTTCAAGTAAAGATTTTAGTTTATTTGGCTTAATTATTTTGAGATCCTTGTTGGTGCTCAGATCTATTTTTTTAAGGGCCTCAAATGTGTTTCCTAAGGATAAATTGTAAATTTTAAACAGGTTTTTTGAGATCGTAGGTTCAAAAACTTTGCTTCTGAAAATTTCTTTTGGATTTTTGTTGTAAACACTTAAAATATTATTTCCTATATTCTGTATCTTATTAATGTACCTTCTCTACTGTGTTCATTTGCATATTCATCTTTAAAAATTAACCTCATTTCTTTTGTACAATGCTGTTACCCTTCAGTTATTACCTTCCCTCAAGCTCTTTGTGGTAGGAGGCTGAGAAAAAGTGAATAAACGCAATATTTTCAGAGTTAATTTGCCCAACTTTACCAAAATACCAGGTTTCATGTCTAAAGTAAGTGTTGGGGAACAAACGAATTTCACTAAAATAATTAAGACATGTATATTTTTTCCTTATGTAAGACCTTGTATCATTAAATAGGTAACAAATATATACTAATGGTTGTGCTTTTATAAGCTCCTCAGGAGAGTCAAAGAGAGAACCATATGGCTTTCTGCCTCTGATTATCAATGAGCTGCTCAGTATTTTGCTTACTTTTAAACAATATTCTGCATCTTTTGGGTCTCTTTTTTGCCTCCTAAGATACTGGGAAACATTGGCCTTCTATGTACATAATTACTGGTTGAAAAAAATAATGGTTAGGAAATTGCATTGAGATGGATAATTTGAATGGTTACTGGATGGGAGAAAAGTATAGTTGAATATTTGCTATAGCTTTCTGCTACTTATTGAGATACAACATATTTTTGTAAGTAACAGCATGTGGGGTTGGTTATTAAAGTGTGTGTATTTCTAATTTGTATTAGAAATTCTTTGATGGCAAAATTACTGAAACCATTAATATTTTCCATTTTGTGCATGAATTTTCCATAGTATATATTGTCTTGAGATATCAACCACTCTTCTGTAGTGGATTTCATTTCAAATGTTAGCTCTTGAAAGGCAGGTACTACTTGTATTGTACTGTGCTTTATTTTTAAAATTTGGGCGATCAAGACAAACTAGGATGTGACACCTCATCTCCTTATGGATAAGTGTTTTAGGTATCTCTTTTGGTGATTGTAATCTGGTTAATCTATCATCTCAGATTCCGGAAAAAAAATCAGTTTAGATTCTCTAGGAAATGATATAAATGCTTTCACACATTTACAGTGGATCATGCCTGACAGATCATTTTACAGGTGAACTAATCCCAAGAA